TAGGATGCCATTTCTTGCTTTCGAACCAAGATTCCAAGGATGTAGATTGTATCTTTAGTCGACTTGAAATTTCATATTTTTATAGACCAAAATATAGCTCAGTCACTAAGCTTGATAAATTATAGTGGAATTCTATGGTATCAATACAGTAATTTATGATTATTTGGTTATTCAACTGTATATATAAAACCTTAAAAAATTATTATACAAAATACTAGTCTACTAAAACACAGTCAAGACAGGTCACTTTGTAAAGACTAAAGGTCAGTTTTATATTATTGGATATGGTATCACAAGTGCACGTGAGCCGTGTCATTGTAACTTCTGTATTGTTAACCAAGCACAGCTGAAAGATCAATATAATAAAAATAATAAATATATAATAAATGTATAATGTTATGAGATTTAACATAAATGTTTAGACTAAATAGCTTTTCATGTTATAAGTTGTTGTCATTCTAGAACGAGAGAGGCATAATTTATATATTTATTTCCTAATTTTTTATGGTAGTTACAAGATCGGTCAAATCTACCAAACCCATAAAAATAATCATTATTGAAAATAACAGATAAAATATAAAGTTTTCTTCTTAAGAAAGGTTTGATAACTACTTTGGCATTATAAAGATTTCACATGTGAATTTTGAAAACTTTCTGATGCATTAAAGTATTCTTAATCTTAAAATGAAAATTACTTTCAGATAAAATATAAGAGATAATACTACCATGCCACTTTATCATATAATGGCAACAAGACTAAATAAAAATAACACTATCTTACCCTCAGTTCTTTCTTCTGATTTATTTTCATCTTGCTTGTCCTTAGATCCAGTTGTATTCAGTTTTGTCCCACCTGGAATCACATCAACCAGAGCTTAAGTGCAGATTATAACAACTTTTGTGGGTCACTTATCTTCCTAGCTTGCATATTATTATATAAAATAAGCAACTCAGAGATGGTATTTTAGTGCTAAATTTTAACTGATAAAATAAATTATTTTAATAATTCTAAAACACCTTCCATACAAAAAATTTTTTAAACTTAAATCAATACACAAGCTGTAATATTTTAAAATTTCTTCAAAAATTAAACTTTTCAATGCTACGAACTACTCCAAACAATTACAGTGGCAAGATTTTATAGTTAAGATATTTCTGAATTGTATGAACAATAGAATTGTTACTAAAGTACATCATAGCAGTACTACACATTCATTTCATACAGTTCATGAATCAGTGTGATTAACATTATACTGTTAAATTACCACTTGTGGAACAAACTGATCTCAAGATCAAAGTATTAAGAATTAGGGATTGCATAAATGAGCTTACACGAAAGAAGAAATAAATACATAATCAAAATGAAAATTACAGAATGGTAACAGAAAAATAAAGATACCAAAATCACTCAGAAAAATGTTCTACCACCTAAACAATGCACACAAGCACTAATACTTGTGTAGTGATAATAATTCATCTAAAACAATGATGGTTGTTTAGCCACCTGAAAGTAATGGCTTCCAAAATCAACCAACCAATGAAACTGTCCCTTTAACTAGTACTAACACAGTTATAATCGATTAGGCACTACTTAAGAATGCTGTTTTGTGAAAGCACTCATAGTACTCACAAACAACTGATCATCAGTGCATATACCATCCTAATTTGTCTATAGAATCTGCAATGACCTCAGAAATTGTCCACATCAACAATCAAATGGTAAAGATGGGACATATATAAAATGTACACAACTACTTAGATGTTTTAGAATTATACTCAAGTGTATTTTTTCAGATCTTATTAAGTGTTTGCTACTATTTTGAAACTATTTTTTCGGTGTAGTTTAAATGTTGGGATAATCAATTATTTACATATCGTAAGAGCATATGTAGAAGTTTCTGATCAATGTTTTATTTTAGTTCTTCCTAAGCAAGTCAGTTTGATATTAAAGTAGGTTTTCAGAACATCAAATATTTTGCTACTCTTTTACTAATGTCCCACATGGTATGAATACATTTAATAACTGCTATTTATCAAATTTATTGTAAATTCTTTATTACTGAAATACTATTTCTCTCATCTCATCTGTTGATGAAAAATGCATTTTGTAATTAGAATTAGAATTTTAATAGGTATATGAAAACTTTCTTAAAGGTGGAGAAACGTACACCGCTTGTTAATTTAGCACAGAAGAAAAGTTTAATGACACTTCAAGAAAACAGGTTTGTACAAGTTCACAATGATTACTATGACTTACAAATTTCCTTATAGGTGTACAATACTTACCTTTATAGATATGCACTTGGTCATTCTGACCAACCTTTTAACTAACATGTAACCACGAAACTATACATACCATAACTCTGAATGTACCAAGTTTATCTACATGAAATTAAGCAAGTCTATTATCTTTTAATACATAATATTTAAAAATTATTTGTCTGTGGATTCACAAAGTATTTACATAGTTCACTCTGAGTGAAATGTAATTTGCATGCTAAGTTAATTAATAAAATACTTATTTTTATCTTACAGTTTTCATATTTATACAACCACTAGAACCTCCAAAGTGAATATCAAGTCTTCAATAAAACTTCATAATTTATCTCTTATTTTTCTACGTTGATACTAACTGTAAAGAAATCCTCAACATAATGAAATTTAAAGTTGAAATAAAATTTAATTTTTTTTTCTTTCGAGAATGACTGTAAATGAACTGACAATTATTCTATTTATACTAACAGCATCATATATCTAGTTTTGTGGCTTTACAGCACTATTTGATGTCTCTCAGTATGTCAAACACAATATACCCAGGACAACATAATGTAAAGAAATGTATAAAGTTACACCATGCAACCTCACAGTGTGTGAACTACACAAACCAGCTGATCTGACATAATGTTTCTAATTCTTAAATTTCAGTTATTTTTGTTTTAAAAAAATATAATAAAATATATATGAACAAATTTAAGACATTTTGAATGATTGCCTGAGGGATAACCATTTACCAGACTTTGGTTATCCTACAAAGAAAAAGGCTGTTCTTTTGTAAGTAAAAAAAAAAAAATGTTCACAATAATATAAGGATAGGTGCACATAAACAACAACACATGATTAACAAGATTATATCAAATATCAGATATTTTATTAAGATCAACAACATGATCATCATTGACACAACATTGTGTATTCACTGATGCCTCAACAAACAACTTGGGCACCTTAGATATACTGTAAAATGCTCCTTAGTATTAAAAAAGCAGACTAGTTCATGAAGTCATTATGCCCATTACTGGACACTGTCTAGCTGCCCTTCAATTATCTATTATTGAAAAGAAACAATAACATATAATAGTGGGCATGCAAAGATATGAGAATTGACCTAAATACTGAATACAATATTCTCTTTATGACAGAATCATTAATTTATTTTCTGAAAATAAAACAGCAATAGTGATGAAGCTCAAGTTATAAAATCTTTCTGAGCTCTGAAGCACAAACATGAATGAAAAATTATGGGCATGTTGAATCTACGTGTCAAATGGACAGCAACTGCCTGTTGTAGAAACCTACAAATGTAGAGGACGACGTTTCAAAAGTCTTCCGTCTTTAGAAACGTCGTCCTCTACATTTGTAGGTTTCTACAACAGGCGAGTTGCTGTCCATTTGAAACATAGATTCATTATGAATACTCTGCCTAAATAACCTATCAAAGATTATGGGTATGTTATATAACAGGATAGCATTGAGCTTTCACATAGTAGTTTTAACTCGTACAAGAACACGAGACTGCTAAACAAAATTAGCACTAAAACATTCAATGATTACTGTGTTTTAAATTTAGAATTAAGGAGTTCCAAAAATGGTGATACATTTAAAATATTTAAATTTGATGAATGCTGTGAAACTGTTAAACTATATTCCTGATATGAAAAAAACAAATGTATTTCAATAAACTAAATCAAAAGTACAAAAACATTTTTACCATGAGTAAATTTTAAACTATATAAAATTAAGAACAAATGTTCAGTTTATTATTATACCATACAAAATTTGTTCTAGAACAGGCCTCAACAAATCCCAAGTGCCAGGTCACCATGGCGAGTGAAACATTCATCACGGTGCCTAGTATTTTCTTCCGTTGTATTCTTGCGTAAGGCTGTGCTAAATACAACTCAAACCAAGAACAGTTCTGGATTCATGTTTTTTCACAAATTAAGTTGTGCAGTTGCACAACATGTTACTAATTTCGCACAATTTTGTTTTTTCTTCTACCTCTAAATTCAGCCAATCAGTACGCATGTTTAGACTCAGACGGAACCAAAGGCAGTTAGTTCAGGCAATACTATCAAGCGGTTGTTGATATCATGATCATTAGCATGAACTCGTTGTTGTGAAATTAAATAAATGTACAATGATGTCTCAATTATCCGCATTGTTCCGGGGAGAGCAAAAAAATTGCAAATAAAGAAAAACAGCAGATAATCATGTATCTCACTAGTTAGCCCATTGTTTAATGTAAATAAAAATTTTCAATATATTTAAGTTCCTTGTTTTAAATTATAATCTTTTTACTGTCATTTAATCACACCATCATGAAAAATGATAAAAGTCATCACAATTATAATCATAAAAGCCAAGTGTTGGCCGGTCAGTCACATTCGATGTTTCCAAATATAGGCATAAATAATTCCTAAATTTTGGCACATTTTCTGCTAAAGACACAGAAGTGCATTTGCACCCTATCAACACTTGTGAAAAATAACTCAAAAATTAGTGCAAGTCTATGCTTGTGAATTATTAAAAACAAACAAACCTTTGTTAAAACAGACTAAAGATAACAATTACCTATAGGGAAGAAGACACCCCAACACAACCTGAACATGTATCTGTAGTTAAAGGGTGCCCACCGTGAAGAATAGAACAGCAGGACGACAACTGAAGTTGAGTGTGTATTTTGTATATTATGATTTCAATCATTAATCAAACCAAGCTAAAAATATTTTACATTGATGTCTAAACAGCTAAAAAATAAAAGAGGCAAAGATAGGTTTGAACCGACCAACTTACTATTTGAATGCACGCTAGATCCTGCAGTCAAAAACCCCCCCAGATATCACATAACACCTGAACTTTTGCAACCACAATTTATTTCAATTTTTCCAAAACATGTAAATCACTGTCTATAATTGTAATGGCACAATTATTTAGAGAAAATTTTTTAGAAAAAAAAAAAAACGTGTATAATCAAGGATTGCAGATAACAGAGGCGCGGATAATTGAGGCACTAGTGTAGTCCCCATTTCCCGGTAGTGAAGTTAGGTTAGGCACAGCTGGCTTCTGAGTTTTGGGGCTGATACCTACATCTGAAAGTATTTGTCGAGGCCTCTTCTTGAATAATAAAACAATCATACTTACAGTACAAAAAAGATAAATAAATAAAACATAAGAAAACGGTCTTACCAACAAAGTTTATTTTAGGCACCGATACATTGGTTTTGTCTCCCGAGGTACCAACATCTGACTTAGCAGAATCACTATCACCACCTTTGATACCTTTCTGGGTAATGGAATTGGTACTAATGACTACAGGATCTGCTGAAGGAATTGGCTTACCAAGTTTTGTGTGCAACTTCACTACCTAAAAAAAAAGTAAAGAAAATATTCTAGTATCACTGACTAAAGTCACAGCAAAATAGGCAAATAGTAAAGTATAAACAATTTTAAAATTTCTTATAGCATTACTTGTCACGACTTTTACAAAACAAGACTATTACAAACCTTCTTCACACGAATTCCACAAAACAATATTAATTCACATTTATCTAATATGGCTTCTACAAGACAAGATTACTTCACAACTACTTCATGTAACTTCTAGAAAACAAAACTGCTTCACATCTACTCAACTGATTTCCATGAAAAGAAAAATATTACTTCACATGTTTTTATCTTTCCAGCCCTAACCGTACTTCAGATTCTTTATGAAGGCAACTGGCATCACATTTTAAAAAAATTTGTCTTATCTCTCTCCAAATCACCCATAAAACAAAATTATCATTGAAACATTCATATATATAAAACTTGGCTTTGATGGGATTTTTTGTTTTGGATAAAGTAATAAAAAAATCAAAACTTTTAACCCTAAAAATCAGAACTTTCAATGTATTTTTATTCAGACTTTGTCCATAATTATATGGTGTCAGAGTGTTGACTGCTATGAGTGCAAAGTGATTTTCATGTTAAGATCAGAAATACTTTTCTTCATCTAAAAATTTTCAAATTTCAATTGCATAATCTCTAAAACCTCCTCAATAAATATCAATGATTTTTTCAGAAGAACTTTATATTTCATCTGTTATGTTCTACAATATAACTCAATACAGGGTTGGTTGTTTTGACTGACCTCATAACCACATATCCTAAATAGCTTAAAGCTTCTAACAGTATACAGATATTTATACTTAATTTTATTGCCTTTTGAATCATATCTAATTAATAATCCTGCCACACATGTTGTAATTACTTGGCAAACATGTAGCTCATGTTACCCTATCAAATTACGTAACACACAAGCTACTCACAAGCGTACTCCCTGAAGAAATGTTATTATTATTATTCTTCGGTGTACCTAACCTATCAAGCTTTTAAGTTTTACATTTTAATTACATTCATAACAATAAATAAAGAATATACATGAAAAACAAGGAATATAATACTTACCTGGATTTTCTTTTCCTTAGCTGTTGATGAAACTTAAGCCTACTTTTTCTATACTAATGGTACTACCACACTAAATAAAGTTTGAACTGAAAGAGAAATTGACTATTCTCTGTACAAAATACAACGTACTATAATACATCATTTGAGAGATGAAAACCTTGGCTTTATATTATTATAAGTAATATAGTATTAAACATCAGAGAGAACTAGCGGCAATTTACAAAATAGAGGATGTAACAGGTGGGTATGGCATGAGGGGCCATATTTTCTATTTGATGGCTCTGTAATCAAATAAGGTCGATTGCTATAAAATTATGCTTTGCCCGAGTGATGATGACATTATAATGACTAATTTATGTTAAATTTTGTACTTCTTGTATGGGTAGTAAATAAATTAAGAGACCAGAAGATGCCCAGAGAAAAAAAATGTCACAATTTTCATACTAGTAGAAATCCAGGATTTTTTTTAAATATTGCCTTATGAAATTAAGAATTTAAAACTTAAATATTATTAAAATTTTGATTATTAGCTATAGTTTTGTGCTAAGTTTAATTGTATAGCACGATAAGAAAGTAGTTTAATTATATTTTGAACATAACTCACTAATACCTTGTGACCAGCATAGAAAAAAAATGCCCATTACAAGAGTGTTAACAAGCAATCTCTGACAATAATAATAACAAAAATGGTAGGGCACTTTGTAGCAATTATATACAGCATTTAGTCTTTTTTTTTTCTGAAAATTTATAGGAATAGGCATTATTTTATGAGAAATATAATAATCGGATAAAAACCAAAGGCATTATGACTTTTTTTTGTTATCAGGAGAGTTGAGTGATTGTTTACCCTAGTTCAGAAGATGGTCATGGCATTGTTGTAGTACATTATCTATGAAACATTTGAACTTTTCGTGAAGCGTGTGAAGAACTGCTTTAAAAAATGAGCCAGAATACATTAGGGTTTCTTCTTTTCAAGATGGAAATGAGATAGGATTCAAAGCTAACCTAGAAATTTAAATTAGTAAATGTCTGAAGTGTTACAAGTATGGATGCAATCATGATTCACGCCAGATGCTCAAAAATTAACAGTAAAGAAAGGTCAGATAAGCTTTGGCAGAAGAGGTGCTGTTAAAAGCCTAAATAGTAGTACGTATGCATACCAGAGCAGTCAACTTAAAGATGTATTCAATGTCTTGGTCTCAAATGGGGAAGACAGAGAAGGTGCTGTCTTCCGATGCAGATTCGCATCGGCATGATGTGAATCTTGACAACACAAAGGAAGAGAACAATTCAAGATCAGATAAAGAACAGAGAATAAAAAGACTTTTTCTGAGTGAAGTAAGACTATTACATGGATAAAAGGAGAGAGGAGTACTAATATAATGATGAAATAGCATAACCATAGCTTGCAAGTGACCAACTATGGTAAGATAAAACCACCTTAACAACTACTCAAACCACAGAAAACAGCACAGCAAAATTTGGAGACAGTTTTAATGGGTAATGAAGAAAACTTTACTATAAATGTACAACATTTCAACAAGACTATGTCACCATCAGGTACATAATCTTGACAAAACATTGTACATTTATAATAAAGTTTATTTCATTATCCATTCGAGCCATCTCCAAACTTTGATTTTCAGAGAAGTGGGCTCCTTGTCATCAAATTCAAGCATAGCAAAATGATCCCTGGATCATGCCCTACAGAGTCATATACCTCACTCTTTAAACTTCCAGATTTCTGGATCTGATGGGATATCCCATCACCAACCAAAATAGTATTATTTTCTGTCATTGAGTCACAGATTGCTAGTTAATTAAATTTTGAAAGTACCCTGTAACAATAAAGGTCATGACATTTGAACTTTAACCTAGCCATTTACATAGGGTTTATAGAACTGTATGTTGACTTGATTAAATATAAACCTAAGATGGGTGTAATTTTTGTATACTTTGTTTCTAGAATTGCTTTGCTGCACATAGCCACAAAACTAAAAAGCTTAAAAAGTTACTGGAATACAATTTTGAGTTATATAATTCTTATTCTTCATGTTCAACAAGCATGCTGATTATAGTCAAATTTATAACTCCCATTTGTCTTTAAACCTTAAGAAAAGTCACTTGCATTAGTGTTTGAGGCTGGAGATATTTCATTTAATTCTAGCTTTTTTAAAGGAAACTAATTAAATTTTGCGTAGTAAAAAAATTAACCATTTTTCAAGTAGTTAATCTAGATATCTCAAAAATGGAATATTTTGTTAGTTTACAGAAACAACTGTAATCCTCCTTTCACTCACTTTTTGATGTTTAGCTCCACGAATGTGTGCTGCATAAGTATCAGCACCTGTGCAAGTAACGTCACAGAGCTCACATCGAAGAGACGTTCCACCTCGGGGATTTGGTACAATATTATTTCCCTGTTTTGATGCTGCTTCTTTTTTCTTGTGTTTCTGACCTTCTACATGCTCTCTATAGGTCTGTATAAATATCAACATAAATATACACAAATTACCACTTAGCACGAGTTTATAAACGAAAGTTGAATATTAATTGTCAAAAGTGTTGAACACAGCAAAGTAGAACTGACTTAAGCATGCTAGAAGTAGTCTCGTGATAATACACCACCCACTGAATGTGATCAGAAGCAAGATTTTGGCCACATCTACACGTTCCAACCACAAACATGACAAACAACTTCATAGTTGGAACACTTTACAGCCAAACCTACTTTACTGGTGGTGGTGGATGCAACTTGAACCTACTGCATCCTGAACCATGAGCTACTTGATCATAAGTGCTGATAAAAGCAGCTGCCAAAGTGGGCCTACCAATGATATTTTATTGAATAAAGCATAGTAAAATATTTTTTAGGTTAGTAAAGCAAATATCAATGTCATAAATATCACCTTCAGTACAGAGTGGTCGTATTGTAAATAAGGAATACTAACTTATCTAATTCCTAATTGAGCTATATTCAACTAATAAGTACAAATTTGCCAGACCTAAAGTTTAAAAATGAAGTGATATTTCATTATAATGCTTTTGTTTTTCAAACTACGAGATTTATCAGCATGTGAGATTGTTCACTATATCTTAATCCAGTAGCTTAAAAAATAATTCTTCAAATACTTGAATAGTTAAATTTTTCATTTTCTGAAGTTATTTTGCCATTTCTCTATCCATTTTTAAAACTAATTCTATTTTAAATTTTTGCAAATGGCTGTTAAATAATTAAAAGTGATTTTTTTTCAAAGTTTTTAAAATTTTTATTTTTGACAATAAATGTTTTCCTAAATTCTTTCATTAACACTGCTGGATTAAAAATGATAGTAGGAATCCAAGCTTCTTTTTATGTCATTCCTGATGTGTGAAGACCATTACAGTATTTAAAAATGTGGCATACCTAAAAACAATTGTTTGTATTTAAGCAAAGCTATAAAAATGATTATCTATGCTTTGCTCATCACAGGTACCAAAACTCAGTTTTAAGCATTACAAGCCTTCAGACTTACTGCTGAGCCCAAAAAAGATTAATTTAACTTAAAATCTGTAATGTTAAAAAGCAGATCCCCCCACCACACACACACACACAACTTGAAAAGTTTCAGGTGTTATTCTTAAAACAGAAAGATTTAGCATAAAGCTTAAATCACTGTATTATTACTGGCTAAAGTGGTTATTAGTGAAGGATAAAAAAAAGACACAGTAAACAATTTTGCTTTTAACTTACTTTCTATTATATGTACTTTATATTTCAACTTAGTAATATGAGTATATTTGATACTTAATCTTTAAACTGTAGTCTATTTAACATTATATCCTCGATTTTATGTTCAACAACAATGAAAAGGACAATTTCATAATTTGTAAAGTTCAAATGAAATTTATCCAATAGCTTTCTAATCATACAAAATACAGACTGTAACATTACCGATGAAACTGTAATACATTAATTTGCATGAACTGAGCCCTAATGGCTCCAAAAACATGGATCTAAAACCCCCTGAACTGTTATTTTTACTACTGATCCAATGTTAACTGGTATAAAACACTACATAACTTTTTTTTATTTTTTATCCTCACAATGATCAGTTCATTGATAGTAAAATATTTAAGAATTATATCTGTCAAAATTTTCTAAAAATCAACAAAAGACCAAAAAAATAACTAATTTAAGCTTTCACATCTTTAATAACTATAATAAGATACTTTCCTCAACTTATAAAATATATAAAAAAATCTACTCGTAAATCCTGCTACCATAAAAAATACTCAAATATAATGTTATCAATAACTTGAAAAAATGTGATAAAGTATAAGCCATTTGTTACTGATAACTTGTATAATTAGCAGTACTAAGTTATTTTAGAACTGAATTTATTTCAACGAGCATTTGTTTTTTTGCCAAGAAGCATGTGAAAGCACAATAAAATCCTTCAATAAACTTTCAGATTGCTATAACATACAGGCAATCCATAAAATGGAGTTAAAAAAACCATGGTTTAACTGGAGAAATAACTTACAATTTCAAAGTTGGAAATCATAGGTATAATTAAATAGAAGTGCAATTTGACTAATTTTTGACATATATATTTATATAAGAAAAATACCACACCTGAGGACCAGCACAACTAATCTTGCACACTTCACAATAATGTAACTGTTCAGGTTTGGGTGCAGCTTTTGGCTTCTGGAACCTCATAGGTACTCTTTTAAAACCAGACCAATTATTACTGTGAACTTTTGCAGGCTGCATATTAGAGGTGGTGGTATTCTGTTGATTAGTAGTGGTATTAGCAGCAAGAGGTGTACTAGACTGAGCCGTCTGTTGTTGATGTCCATATACAGGAGCTAAATATAGAACTGATATTTATTAGAAAATGACTTTTCCTGATCAGAGTTCTTAATTTATACTTCAAATACAAATATTCATATGACAATTATAATTAGTTTGAAAAATGTTTTTCTTATAATGTCTTCAAAATGTACACATAAATCAGAAGTTTCTTTATTTATGTCTAAGTTCTTCTAGTAGTACCGATAACAATTACAACTAAAAAACAAAACCAGAGGTGCACAATCTACAGTTTCATTTTTTTTTTTAATTTAAACAACTGGTAACCATGTAAATAAAAGAGTATTACTTCTAGTTGTGTAGTTTCCACTACTTCCTGTATTAAATGTGGAGTAACTCGAGGATACTCCAGGTGTGTTTGTTGTGTAGGCATAAGATGAAACTGTACCAGCTTGCACATTCTGAGTCTTCTGTGGTTGGCGCTGAGATGCATATGCTGTATTTGTTGAATATGAAGGTTTTCCTGCAGCTATAAACCAGAAAACAAATATATATTGTACTAATTTTAATAACTGGAGAATAAGACCACATCAGCACAAGAAAACTTCTTATACACTATACAATCTATTCTTTATTTATCCCACTACATGGAGTACTGATATTGTTAAACTGTTATTACAATTATTTCACACTAACATATTAATCTAATCCTTTCCTAGATGCTTGATTATCTATGCCTTAAATATAAATGGGACTTATTACTTTGAAAAATTATTAACTTGCTAAATAAGAAAATCCTGAAACCTGTTCCAACACAAAAAAGAAGCTTAACTCTGTCAGAAAACCATAATATGAGAAATGACCAGAAATCTTTAAGAATACAGATGATCCCACATTCATAAGGTAGATGAAGTGCAATTCAATTAGCACCTCTCCTTAGCCAATCAACTTTTATATATAAGACTACAGATGATCCCATATTCATAAGGTAGATGAAGTGCAATTCAATTAGCACCTCTCCTTAGCCAATCAACTTTTAAATATAAGAATACAGATGATCCCAGATTCAAAAGGTAGATGAAGTGCAATTCAATTAGCACCTATCCTTCGCTTGTCAAATTTTAAATGTAAGAATACAGATGATCCCAGATTCATAAGGTAGATGAGGTGCAATTTAATAAGCACCTCTCCTTAGCCAATCAACTTTTAAATGTTTGTGAAGATGAAATGAGCAGATAAAAAAAATAAAATGCTGATGTAAAATAGAGAAGAAGAAATAATGCTAGTTTACAACAACAAAGCTACATTAAGGAAACATAACTAAAATAAACACTGACACTGTGATCACAAGGTAGCAATCAATAAATGTAGGCAGATATGTTTTTATAACCTAGCCTCAATGATAATTTATGTCTGATAAAAAAATCAAGTATTTGTATATGAAAGTTAATCACAAACCATTTTATACTTTAATGCCACGATTTACTGGGGGAAAACTGTTATATTGCAAGACATTTCATGTATGTATGCATGTGTAATGAAGTCACATTTGAAAATATTTTGTGTCTTGAAACTTAAAAAAAATAAGGCATTTAATGCTGTATGGAAAAAGCCATCTGAAAAAAAAAAAAGCATTTTAAGATTCATATTTTGTCATCATCTGATCAACATATATAAAGTTGATATTTATGCAGTATCAGCAGCAAGTTATTCTTAAGGTTCATGAGATATCAATCAACTTTTGATTGCTAATCAAATATATTTACATCACAGATATATATTGTTACTAACTTATTTTATTACCATAAATGTTATATTATTAATTAAGGAACTTATCAGTGGAAATAAAAAAGAACATAATAACATGTCAACCACACTGTACTATATCCAGTGCCAACAAGACCTTTCACCCAATACTTGGCTCATCAGGCCAGTTGGTATACAACAGACATAGTACTAGTCGAGATGCTATTTATCAATTTTGTTTAAGTCATTATATATCAGAATTATATTTGTCATTTTTACTGTACAAAAAATAGGGTTACATATGGGTAAAAATACTAATTTCCTCTATTCTAAATAAAACTTTTTTTGAACCACATACAATTTTTATTTCACCAACAAAAAAAATTAAGAAACAAATAATATATTGCTTCTGAAATGGTTAGTGTTTAGTTAGTACGAGATATAAAACACATGATGCAATGTTTATTTTCATTATTGGTGGAAAACTGGTATGAGTTAGCCAATACAATTAAACTTTATTTCATCTTCCTGCAATGTGATTTCCTCCTTATTTTTTTCATTTTATACAACATGAAAACTTAATTGTGCTGCTAAAAATCATACAGATTTTTAATGAGCGACTGAGTTTCATTCATTACTTTGGTGTGGTCCTGCCGAGTCTCACCTAAGAAAACTGATGTATAACGAGTTTGGCCATTAAGAATATTAACACCTCAATAATTACAGATATCTTTCATTAAATGAAATGGAGCAATATCTTACAATATATAATAAAATAAATAGATATAGTGATTCACAAGCACTACTTCCTGCTTTAAAATTATTTATATTTTATGAATGCACTTTAATATTTTAATCACAAAAAACTGACTCAAAAATTTTACGTTATAACTTTACTCATTTGTATACAGTCATAAAGTAGTTTTAAAACACTTGAATTGAAACAGATATATTAAGAGATGCCACAGTGAGACAAAATATAGAGCTGAGTAAAGTATACAGTCACAAACACAGCAAACAAGTCACACTTTCTGAAGAAATCTGCCATAAATTAATACATCACATTTTTTTAAAAGTTTATTTATAAATAATAGTTTCAGTGGATAAATTATTCTACAGTATTTTGTCATATTTGTTGCACACCTACATTCATTACAAAGTAATTTAAATTAATATTCTATTAAATTTATAGTACCTTTGATGTTGTATCTGCATTTCAGATATACATTAAATGGTGTATCATGTATAATTATGCATTGTAAGTAATTTTTGGTAACTGATGTGATCACAGAACGTAGTTGACATTTTTTAGAGACCTATGCTTGACTTATCTTGCCAGGTTGGTTTCTTTTCCTTTTGCTCTAAATAATTGTCTAACAAATCTAACTTTTAAGATACTCTATAGTTAAATTTTGGCCAATATTCTACTGCTAATGTTAAGAAACACTGTTAGTTGGATTACAAACCTAGGATCTTAGGAACAGGGAGTGGAAATATTATTCATTGAACTGGGCTTGCTCGTTAATAGTGACTTCGAAAGTTAAATTTATGCTCCCACTAGTGGTGATTAGGGTTAGCAATTTTCAATCCTCAATTTGTTTAGAGGTTTCTTAGCTGTTGGATGTGGAAAGGCTTCTGTAATTCCCTTTTCTTTAAAAGTTACTACTGGAATATTATTTTGTATATTTTTACTGTATATGGTGATTCTCTTGTCTGGCATACAACGTAACATTTGAATTGCTTGTTTTACTGTCTTATGTGACACTGATTATCTTAGATATTAATCTTAACTGGACTTGCTATTTCACCAATGTATTCATTCATGTTCATGTAGAATGCAGCAGCTTAAATTTTTCTTTCTTAAATGTATTTGAAGGAGGGTGTTGTTATTGGAAATGGTCTAAAGAAGTGGTTTCCAATCTGGGGTCCAGGTAGGTAATACCATCTAATTAAACAAGTAAGTTTTTTAATACTGATGTTCTTTTTAATTGCACACTCAGTTATATATGTCTTTTATTTGATAGTGAAAAGTGGGAGAACAAATTAATTAGTAGTTAATAAAAACAGTTTGTTGGGTAGGCGGAATCCTTCAAAAACATGGGGTCCGTGGGGGTAAAAAATGGTAATAAAAGGGGTCCTTGGTGGACCAACGGTTGGGAACCACTGGTTTAAAGTGACAATATTGCAGTTTCACTCATTTTCACAAGATAATCAGACATTTTTTAATTTGTGGATTAATAAAAAAATAACTAATACTTTCAGTGATGCCTCTTGATATTTTTACTTTTCTCTGAACTTTGAATAAAAACTGAAGTACTTAAGAATAAAATTGTTTGCAAATGGCATATGATAATTTTAACAAGCATATTTTCATAATGCACAAAACACAGGGTATCTGTCAACTTATTATACCAGCTACATGCCTTTCTTCTAGGTGATGTTTTCTAAATGAGTAGGAAGCTATTGTACTTTTGAAAATTATCTAAAAACAGCTGTAGTAAACTGCTCCGTCTAGAATGTGAAGTAGACAGTAATTCTAACTGTTGTAAGCTAGCATCTCCACCACTCTGGATGAATCGTTCTCTCTTATGTATTAATTTCCAGAAATAAATTATAATAGGGTGTTTGAATTGGTTCATTATTTTTTTAGCTTGCCAAAAAATATAAGATGGACATCAGGCTAATTGTATGATATAGTTGCACCACCTTCTATCCCTACTTGAGAGATCTTTCAAAGTGCATTTGGAGTAACTGCAAACATAAGTTTAACTCTTTATGGACTAGTATCTCAGATTTTTTATATAGGTAAAATGAAAACATAGACTATTAAAACTTTATGTGCAATCTATATCCTCTAATTAACTCCAAAATAAAATCATAAATGATATGTTAAGGTTTTAAATTTTCTTAAGATGTAAGCTTTACTAACATATGTTTTGGGTGAATTGATTTAAAAAAATGTAAACTCCTAGCCCTAATTTTCTATTTATGCCCTATTGTAATTATTATTGAGGTGGTGGAAATCTTTAAGTTTCTCACCTGCAAAGAAAACTTGTCAGTGGATGAAAATGAACTACAAATTTGTAAGTTTTCACTAATTTGAGGCTTATGTTTAGTTCAAATAGTTTGAAAAGTAAATTTTTGAAGGTGATGTCAAGAACTGTACAATTCAACTATCTGAATGTTTCATTTTATAATTTTTAAGTTTTTGAAGCTAACAGAATCATAAATATATCATCTGAAACCTTGTATTATTTTCTTTCTCACAATTTAGCTACCACAGAGCTCCATCCTTTCCTTGGCTAGTTACAACAGATTGTAAATTTACAAAATTTCTTACTATGTCTCAAGGTGCCTTGAGTCTAAGTAAAGCTTTTGTTTTTTGTGTTAGTAATGGTTTATTATTATTTAAATACCATGGAAAAGCAATAGGTTAGTTTAATGAGTTTAAATCATCCATATTTATCTACTGTACTGAAGTAATTTCCTTTGCAGTTTACATTAACTCCCACGTTTTGTAACTCGAAGCCATGGTGAATGCTGGTATGTCACTTCGCCCTCAAGCAAGGGCAAAAACATGAGCACATGTACTTAAATTAGTAAAAGGAGGACATTTACAATACTTCAGATCATTTTTTATTGCACAATTTCTATTAAACAAATGGCCTAACACATGACATAACTAGGCCTACTATCACATATGTATAAAAACTGGCTTTTAGGTCAATGAATATGTGGGCCATACATAATGTAGTAGTAAATAGTTATATTATATACTGGTTTTAGTTTATTATAAACCATAAATTTATTTTTAAAAACAAAATTATATTTTAAAAGGTTCCATAGTTTTCATGCCATGTGTTTGAAGTGTCTGTGTTTGAAATACTGTGACTGTTATATATTATCAATTCTTATTAATGCCAGTTTAAAGGTGGCTTAAACCTTACCACCAGGCTATTCAAGGAATAATGCAGTTTTCAAAAGCCATAACAAATCAACATACCAGCTGGTATGTATACACCTTCTTCAGGATTCAATTGAAGAAAAAAGTTAATCTAACGCAATGAGTACACTGGCAAACCAATACACCAATTAAGGTGAGAACTTCAAAACATCAATGAAAGACAAGCCTCTGTAACACTGACAAGTCATCATACACTATCATACAATAAAATTAGTGAAATCTGATTACCACTACTAAAAAGTATAAATGCAACATCCAAAGTCACTATTAACAAGCAAGCCTAGTTCAGTGAATAGTGCTCCTTACATAATCAATAAGCCTATGATCATAAATTACTTTCATTAGTGTCTCACAAAATAACTGATTAATTGAAATTGTGATTAACTTAATTAATGTAATGAAAAGAATCAATTAGTTTATCCGATTGTCACCAGTTTCCATTATTTCAACTATCCAATGCTTGTTGTAGCTATCTTGCAACAACAGAAGATGGCAGAATGTATACGAATTATGTTAATTTGAGAATATTTACTTAAAATAAACACCCTTGCATTTGGACATTGCAAGAGGTTCTCACAGCCTAGTAATAAAAGGCACATCATGATTACAAGTGACCAGCAAAGGCAGAGGATGGATGAACAAACCAGCTTCCACCTGTCCTTCATTTTGAACAATGCAGTGCAGAGAAACCAAAAACAGTGACAACATGGTGTCCTAGGTTTTGTAAAATCTGCATCTTTTTTCAAAGAGCAGGATTGGGTTACAGAACCACACATTTTTATTTGGCTTTTGCAAATGTAAGTTTAAAATCTTCATTGCTCTTAGTTTTAAATATAATAGGTAAGTCCACTTGGATATGTTTCTATATACCCTATCAAATAAGCAATTTGTTCTGAAGTACAACTGTTATATTGCTAAAGCAACAAAATATATAAAATATGACATTTTAAGCATGAAATGAACAATACTTTTTAAAAGCTACACTAAACATGTATATACAAGGAAACACTAAAACATACAACAAACATACAGCATCAGAAAGATGCCTATCCTTCTATTTGCACTTACACAAAATATAACGGCACACTATTTGTCAATGAAAGTCACAGAACATTTATAAATGAGCTATCATACTTCCTAAGATATTTGAAAATTATATATTTATGGAGCATTTGAGCAATAAATATTTAATACTTGTACTTACCTCTAGTTAATTTGATAAGAGTAAGCTTTTTCCTTACATTTGCAATAAATCTACTTCTATCACTATTGCATTAAAACACAACTATTTTTTCACTCACACAGTAACAATGGTTTGCATTATTAAATCATTTTATCTGAGAATGACATTTACATCAAAAAATCAACCTGAACATGAAGGTATTACAGTGATAGCAAGGATGTTCTTTCTTGTCTACTGATATTTTCCATATCATGAGACAAATAGAAACTCAGTATTATATAAAAAAGGAAGGAAAAAGTATGTACTGAAAATTCATTAATTCCATAAACAAAGCTGAAACTAGGCACAAGTACATTCACATTGGGTTACTCTTATTAACTTTTTCTTGGTACAACTGATACAAAAGTAGCACAATTCTTACTGTTAAAAAAGTATCCAAGAGTAACTGAAGGACATCTCTCGGAAAAATTATAGTAAAATTTATGTGAAAAAAAGGAGTCTTACTGACTCTAGATTTCATCAAACTTGTTAACAAGCACACACATACAGACACAGACTAGGTGAAATTTATTACTTCCTTGAATTTCTTCAGTCAAGATCATTCACACTCAAGTTGAAAGACTGCAGCTGCTTTAAAGCCATTCAAAATAATGCTTAACACACCCAGTACAGTAATACATTTTTATGTTTTCTTTCACTGAATATTGCTATTTCACAGGATGATCTGAAAAAGCCAAAAATTTGTTATGAAAAAATTAACAAGCCTCACTGCTCTGGCTTTAAACCGAAACTATAATATAATATTAATTTTATTTGTCATGCGGTTGCCCTCGGGGAAAACTGCCATTTTTCTCAATACTCACTCACTAATGACTGCACAAAGTTGTTTCCAGCACGAGGGCTTTTATTGAATACGGTTTTATTCTTGACTCCAGCATATGCAGTAGTACCACTGCTGTATCCATAAACAATGTTGGAGGTCATACCTGGATAAGAAAGGTGGTATAAAATCCTGGAATGTTTATGGTATTTACTCCCTCACATTTTCTCTCTTTCTTTTCTGGTTAACCAATACATACACGGCATCCTAAAGACATTATTCCCTATGTTCATAACAGAAACTTAATCAGCATTTTTGAAATCCTTTACCCAGGTGACAAGGTTCAACATATAAACTACCTGAAATAAAATAAATTACCTACTATCTAATCAAAACATTTGCTTATGGATCAACTTCTAACAAGAAACTGACAAACTCCATTCTGTTGTTATAAAACCATTAAAAGAAATTCTTATATCAACCACTGTTATAACACTTTAAAACAATGTTAGAATTTTGTAAATACAAATCACTAAAAATTCCCTAAATATCACACCTTATGTTCTACGTTGGCACCTACCAAAAGAAAAATACACCCTGTGTTCCTACAACTTCCTAAACATTACCTATACATATATATATTTATATTTTTGGGGGTCTTATATGAAACTTTAGAATGAAACAGAAAAAAATATACAAGTCTTCTATGATGATAAATCTGTTTTAAAATAAATTTTACTGAGAATATATATTAACATTCTAAAACTGAAAAAAAAAAAACAGTTTTCTCGTGTTCTACCTTTTATATTTTGAACTTCTCAATATAACCATCTCTTTAACCATACATTGCATTTCACAAATAAAACTTGTTTGGTTACTGGACTAAATGAAGTACACTTTAATACTATTATTTTTTTACATGTGAAATTAATTATAGCTGTGCAGAAATAATTTGTTTTAAAAGTTAGTTTACTCTAAATATATAGCTAATTGAACCATAAAAGACCTAATCTGCAACTTGAAATGACCATATTTTCAAATTAAGCTGTATAAAACAATGTTGTTCATTTTTACAAGAAATACCACATTATTATACTTGCTGGTAAGTACAATCATTAAGAAAAGTAGCTTCAGATTACAAATGAATTGCAGGAAGCCTAATTTTGACACATTTGTAATTGTAATTTTTTATGGAGAAAATATTCAATTAAACATTTAACATTAGGCCTGGCAAGCCATCAACAAAATAACTCATTCAAATCTATCACAATAATTTATCCAGCGTGAAAAGAGTTAAACAACTTGAAAAAAGAAAGAGAAAACTGTACAAACAAATACATAAATGGCTTTAACTTGAAAGAACTCTTTTATACGGCTTAAACATATTCAGCTCAATTTTGTTGGCATTTATATAAGTTAGGTTTCCAATATTATAAAAACCTGCTTTTAAATCCATTTCATAAAGAGTAGTTATATAATCTCACTGGAACAAGCCAGGACACAATGAAATGCATTTTCTTTGCAACTATCACATTTTAATTTAAAATATATATATATTAAAGAAAAAATACTAAAGAACAAAAATTCTCAAAATATTTAAGTTTTGACATATTTTACAGGTAACTTGGAATAGTAGACGAGTCTGATTCAAGACAAATTAATGAAAAATCCATTGTTTGCAGTTGTTAACAAAAAATCTGTCTTCAATTTTATGAACAAAATTTTAACCTTAAAATCTGGAGTCAATCATACAAAATTCAGTGGCTATTTTGGTCATCACAATATCTGTCAAAAGATAAAAAACACTAAAACTGCCTTTCAAAGATAAATTAGTATTATTTTTCAAACAATACAACTTATTTACTTATTAGTTCACCTCTTCCACAGAAATCTTCAATGAAAAATTTGTTCTTTTCCCCCCCTTTCTTTCATAATTTTGATGAAAGTCCATTGTCTTTTGCAAAGTAATTTACTAATAAGTACCTGTTTATAATCAGTGTACATTGGGAGAATATCAAAAAGTCATGTTTACTCTAGTTTCATTTGAAAGTGCAAAAATGAAAGGTTTGATTACAATTACACTTGTCATAAGACATTAGTATTAGGTCTATGACATTTTTAAAAACTACATTCTTTATTCAGCCTGAAGAGATCTGGATTGAGTAAAATATGTATTCAGCAATGGATATGAAAAACATAGTGTAGATAGAATACTATTATTATAAAATATTCTAATTCCTGAAATTTCCTATTGGACTAGAGTAAGAATGTAGTGTTTAAAAATGTAATAGACCCAATACTAATGTCGTATGACAAGTGTAATTGAAAGGTTCATCATTTGCAAGAAATGATGTTGATACAGTCACAATAGGGATCCCTCTTGAAATTAGAAAGATTAAAAAGAGACGTCATTAGAATTTGATCAAGAGAGGACAAAACTACTAAGCATAAGGAAAAGTAAGAATATGAAACTTTTCATGGTTTAAGATTGTTTGGTGACTGACAGGTTTAGATATGATTGAACAGACCTCAGCCATTGTTGATGAATATTTATTATTGTTTTTTACAATGTGAATCAAGGTCACTCATAAAAAGTTAGAATCTCACACTGAACAAGTAGAGGGCCAGTGAGTATATGAACCTCCTTGAGAAAGCGCCCAAAGAAAGACCATGAGGTGTGGAAAGGAATTAAAAATGTCATACCAGTGGGAGACCACACCACTTCTGAGCCAGGTATACTCTTCACCCTACAGCAATGTGTTGCCAAAACTGAAAGGGTGGAAACATGGAGGGTCCCTAAAATGTTACTAGCAGCAAAGGGAACCTTAGGTGTCAAGTGGCTATGGAGTGACAGACCCTAAATGGCAGTTCAACCTAAATCAACACCTGGCAGCATCTGAAATTGTACATCAGGTCTGCTGTAGGAAGACAGTTCTCTACCTCTCGCCTCAAAAACACTTGTACCAAGAACCTGACTCCACTCGTGCACACAACCAACACCAGATTCATCAGGAACCAACATCCAGCAAATGGTAGGAAGTAAGAAGAGCACAGGAGCTTTCATCTCCGGTCCAATACCTGTCAACAATGAGAATTTTACATTCAGTCCATGGTGGAAACAGGGAAGCCAGCCTTATACATGCAGGTAATCATGTGTTTCATCCAACTTCAAACAAACCAGATCCACCAGGAATCAATATCCAGCAGACAGTAGAAGGATGAAGACAGACATCAATTTGGGTTAATAACTCAAGTTCAAAACCTAGGAGCTTTAGGAAGTTATAATTCAGTCCATGGTAGGATGAGGGAACCAGCCAAACACATGTGAGGACTTATGTGGCTGGACTGTCTCCAACAAACACTTGACCCAACCAGGAACCGACATCCGGGTGGTAGGAATGAGAATATCTCAGCCAGAGGAGCAAACTGCAATATATAGATAGATATGGCAGAGTGTTACAACCAACTCCTGGAGACTCAGAAATTGTACATCAGATCATGGTAGGAATGACCTCACACTATTGACACCAGCAGAATGCCACCACCCTACTCTCAACTGTGTGGTATTGTGCTTCATTCAGGAGGACTGGCCTCTATGGTCCACCACCCAAGCAGGAACTGGTAAGTAGCAAGAACTCCCATGCTCCACTAGAAGAAGGGGGAAGTGTGCTGGAGAGTCCGAAGGACTGCAACAACGAAGGCAGTGCACTGGGTGACCAAGATACCCTATTTTTAAAAGTAGGTCTACCACGTTGACAGAGTCAATCAACCAACACATGGCAGCATCTGGAATTGTGCATCAGGATAGTGGTAAAAAGAGCCTTAACAGCATGGAGCATCAAAGGTGGGCAGTAATCTCCATCTGCTTTACCCATACAAGTCCATGAGTGTACGGTCTGAGACGAACATATTTATGAAGCAAAAGACCACAAGATGTATCTACAATTGGTACTATGGAACACCCCATCTCAACGGTGTGTGTAACATGAGCCTCTGATGTGTTATATTGTCTCATGCATAATATTTGATATTGATGCATATATAACCACTAGACGGATCAATCAACCAACACCTGGCAGCATCTGGAATTTTACATCAGGTCCACAGTAGGAAATGCCCCAATATTATAGTCATCATGGTCACAGGACATAGAGTGGAGATTTGACACTAAGTATACCTGGTCAGGTACCACTCATTACAGTGGGATCCATAACGTATGAATAAAAGAACTTAAAGGAAAAGAAAAAAAAAACTGAGTACTTACCAATCACAAAGAAACAGAAGCATGTAAAATGACGAATGGAGATAAACGGAAACCCAAAGAGCATGAAAGTCATGTGATGTAGGTAATGAGACATAAAGGTATGCAGGGTAGTCCACATACCCGCACTGATAATGTCCTCCAAAGGAAGAAGGAATTTGGCAGACAGGGACATGGTCAGGTAACAGACCTGATGGGAAAAAGGTGACAATCATCCAGACAAAGGGAAGAATATGCCAGGCCAATTACCTACCGTATCCAACCCATAAGGGTAATGGGAGAAAGATCATATGAAATGAAAGAATTCCGATGAATAAACAAACCATGGAAGAGAGCAGTGCGTGTCATGTACATTAAGGTTCAAATCAGGGAGAGAAGCAGGAGAGGGAGGACAAGCTATGGAGAATGAAAGAAATAACATAGGCAGGACAGAAGATTGGAACACAGACCAATTACGTAAATTGAAGAGTGGAAGACAAAGCCACCCTGTAACTCACAACAGAGGAAACTGAGAGGCCCTTTTATAAAGCCAAGTGATGAATGGTAGGTAGAGAAAGATGGTAACCCCGGCACAGAGACCAATAGTGGTATGTTGTCAAGTTACACTGATAAACCACCAAGAAGGATGGAAAATCAAGGAGGCAACACACCTGGAAAGTCTGGACCATCTGGTGTGAGACTGGACAAAAGCCACACGTGAAGATGCAGTGCAGATAGGGAAGGATGACACATGCCAGAGTGAGGCTGACGAAAAAGTGCGAGAGACAAAGGGAGAGGAACTGGCTATGATACCAATAGCCGTCGTAGAAGTGAAAACCACATCTGAACTAGCCAATATGGGGCCGCTAACAGAACCCAACAAGGAGTGGTCTGAAAGCTAAAGAAATGACATGAGGAAGAAACCA